AGGCAGCTCCTGTGGATGCCGGAGGGGAGGGAAGCAGCGGGGCCTCCCCACCACCACCACCCCCCCGCATGGGCGGCGGCACCCGTGCCGGGAAGGACTCTCCCAGACGGTCTATGTATTTATTATTTTCCTCACCCGAGGATACGTTATTGACTTAGAGCAGTGGTTGGCAAACCGCGGCTCGCGAGCCACATGCGGCTCTTTGGCCCCTTGAGTGTGGCTCTTCCACAAAATACCACGTGCGGGCGTGCATACAGTGCGATTGAAACTTCGTGGCCCATGCGCAGAAGTCGGTTTTCGACCTGGGCGAGTCTATTTGAAAAAGTGGCGTTAGAGGAAGTGGGGGGTGTGGGTCGGGCGGGCGACGGGAGACGCGGCGCAGGTGGGCCACCGGATACGCAGCTCGGAGGAGGCGCGCGATTCATGCACGAGGTGAGTGAGCCAGTCAGCGGTCTCATGTGCAGTGGTTAGTGCTAGTCGTGTCCGCAAATCGAGCGCGGGTGACAAAAGTACCTACTCGAAGCATAAAGTTACCCGTATTTTTCCAACAAGCTGCAAATCCTGCAGGTATTTTTGTCATCAATTTAAGAATTGTAATTCTTTCGTGTTGGTGGCTTTATTATTATAAAATGAAACTTTTTTTTTTTATTGCTTAAAGTATTACAAAGGGTATTACATATGTGTCCATTTTATCCCCCCGCCCTAGACAGTCCCCTAGCCTCCCCTATCCCCCAATGTCTTATGTCCACTGGTTATGCTTATATGCATGCATACAAGTCGTTTAGTTGATCTCTTACCCCCCTACCTCCTGCCCCGCAACCCTCCCCGGCCTTCCTGCTGCAGTTTTTTTAGGTGCCCTGTTTGAGATGGCTACAAAGACGAAGCAAAGAAAAATGGAAGACGAAAACCGTGAATTTAAAATTGAATGTACCTACCTATATAGTTTAAGTTTAAAAAATTTGGCTCTCAAAAGAAATTTCAATCGTTGTACTGTTGATATTTGGCTCTGTTGACTAATGAGTTTGCCGACCACTGACTTAGAGGAAGCGAGACAGGAGAATAGAGAAACATCAGTGAGAGAGGGAAATATCAACTGGTTGCCTCCTGCATGCACCCCAGCTGGGGAGTGTCCTGCAACGTTAGGATGTGCCCTGACCAGGAGTGGAACCCAAAAACTCTTGGTGCACAGGACGATGCTCCAACCAACTGAGCCACCAGCCAGGGCCAAATAAGCTTTATTTTAAAGAGCAGTTTCAGATTCACAGAGAAATTGAACAGAAAGTACATGGAATTCCCATGCCCCACACGCACAGCCTGCCCCGTCTCCATCCCATACCCCACACGCACAGCCCGCCCCGTCTCCATCCCATACCCCACACGCACAGCCCGCCCCGTCTCCATCCCATACCCCACACGCACAGCCTGCCCCATCTCCATCCCATACCCCTCACGCACAGCCTGCCCCATCTCCATCCCGTGCCCCACAGGCACAGCCTGCCCCATCTCCATCCCGTACCCTACAGGCACAGCCTGCCCCATCTCCATCCGGTACCCCACAGGCACAGCCTGCCCCATCTCCATCCCGTACCCCTCACGCACAGCCTGCCCCATCTCCCCCCCCACCCCCCGTGCCCCACAGGCACAGCCTGCCCCATCTCCACCCCGTACCCCACAGGCACAGCCTGCCCCATCTCCATCCCATACCCCTCATGCACAGCCTGCTCCATCTCCTCCCCCCTGTGCCCCACAGGCACAGCCTGCCCCATCTCCCCCCCCCCCCGTGCCCCACAGGCACAGCCTGCCCCATCTCCCCCCGTGCCCCACAGGCACAGCCTGCCCCATCTCTGCCTGGTGCCCTAACATACAGCCTGTTTGGGAGCCGTCCTAGAAACTCTTACCGTGTGGGCGCTCAGAGCGGAGAGGCTCTGGGGAGCCGGCCACTTACCGATCCGTCACACAGAAAGCAGTGTTCTTGGGTAAACTGCCAAGACTGCTCCGTGGAATCTTACCCGTGACCTCCGGAGTGGACACATCGGGAGATGTTCAGAGGGAGCGCAGCTTTGCGTATCCACGTGGAGCCAGGACAGAGGCGGGGGAGCGTGACTCGGGAGCCCGACACGGGAGGGTGACACGGAGAGGCTGGGTGGAAGGTGGACCAAGGTTGTCCACGTGGTTTAATCCAGTGAGACCCATTTCACAGGGGGAATGGCATGCTCTGATTCATGTTACAATCCTAATCTGGCTGCGGGTAGTCTTGGGTACATGTATTACAGGGAGGTTCTATCTGTTAGGAACTGTGTCTGACGACTAATAACAAAAATCTGAAAAACAGTAATGTAAAGGGACCAATAGTTTGTTAGCAACTCTGGGGAAGCGGAAGAAAGCAGGTGCCCAGTCTCGTATGTTGTGAGGGCCCTGGTTTGGGGATGTCCATTTGGTTATTCTTAGCAGAGGCCCTTGTCCTCACGTTAATAAGGTGGCAGCCATCGAACTCGAGCTCCCCAGGAAAGGCAGGGGAGACTGAAAGCAGAAATGCGGTCACTAGCGGGGCCAGCTCCTTCAGAGAGCTTCCTGGAGTTCTCCCCCAAGAACTCCTCGCCGCAGGGCTTTGGTCCGGACTGCCGCCTGGAAGCTGAGGTTTCGTCCGGTGGCCACACGGCCTCCCAGGTAAAATCCAGGTTCTGATAGTGCAAACGGGGCCTGGACGCTGGGACAGAACCGGCGCTCGGTGCCACTGGCAGCAAGAACGGAAGCAGGGTGGGCGGTCGGAGGCGAGGAGAGGTCGGGACGGAGGCGAGCGTCGCTTAGATGGGGTGGAGGTGCTGGACATGGGCCGGGATGACCGAGGTGGCACCCGCCGCTACCCAAGCTCCCAGCGTTGTCTGCACAGGCCCCTTCGCGGGCCTGTGTCCTGCGCCGTGTGGAGGTCCTCAGAGCGTTTCGCCATCACGGACACTGGCGTTGCTAGCGAGCGGCTCGCGTTGGTGGCACAGCACAGTGCAGAGGCCTCACCTGGCCGGCTCCTGGAGCACCTGGTGCCTCACGCCCTGCGCAGGGCAGGACAGCAGGCCCCCCACAAGGCCAGGGCCAAGCGCAAGTCCCTCCCCTGGGGAGAGCTCTCTGCAGAGAGCACGCACTCGCGGCCCCTCCCCAGCAGCCTCTTCCTCCTGCCCATCCGGTGCTGCACTTAGAGTCCGGTCACGCCCTGGCTGCGGGTGTGGCGTGCAGACGGGCACTGCCTGTGAGTAGCGGTGTTGGTGCACAGCCGTGCGTTCCTGGGGCGGACCCCAGGAGCTGGGCGACACTGCAGGACTTGGAAAGCTGACGGTAATGCCTCTCTGGCCCTTTGTGGGAAAGGGCTGCCCCCTCCCCTCCAGCATGTGCCAGTCCCTGGAGAAAGTGAGAAAGTGGGTGCTCCCTGACATAGGTCCTAGCAGTTGGTCAGGAAGGGGAAAGATGCCGGTGGACGGGCCTCCTGGCCGGTGGGCCTCCGGGCCCAGAGAGGAAGTGCAGAGGGGGCCTAGTGGCGCCCCAGGCTCCCCAGTGGCAAGTGCCTGCAGCGAACGTCCCCGTGAGCTCTTCCTTCATGAAGCAGAGCTGAGCCCCATGTGCACGTGTAAAAATAAAGAAAATAAAGAAGACCCTAGTAAGCCCTGCCTGCTGGGGTCAGACAAGGACACAAGGACACTGAGGGCGCAAGGGGAGACGCCAAAGGTGACTTCCAGGCGGGACGAGGAAAGGGCCCTGGAGGACTTCCTGGAGGCAGTGACTTGAATGGGTGAACAGAAGCCAAAACTTCTCCCAAACCCTCTGGGAGGTTTGGGTTGGCCTGGTGTGTGTGTTGACGGGGGGGGGGGGGGGGGGGGGGGGGGCGCCAGTGGGGGCGGTCAGGCAGCTGGACAAGTGCTGGTGTGTGGGAGGTGGGGGCCTCATGGGGGAGGGAGTGAGGAAGCTGGCTCCCCCGTGGTTGTTGCTGAGGCGTGGCCAAGTCAGGAGCTTAGCGGTGATGAGTGGGTGAGGGGAGGGTTCTGCAGAGGAGCCTGGACGTCAGTTGGACTGACAGACCTGGAGTGGGTTGGCTTGGGGTGGGAGGAAGAGAGGGGGTGGTGACGGTTAACTCTGGGGCCTCGGCTGGGGGAGGGGAGGGGAGGGGCTGCCCTACCATCTGGAGAAGAGGGAGCTCCGTGAGGAGGTGAGCGCGGTGGGCCGGGAGCCTCCTGGGGCAGCGTGTCTGTAAGTGTAGGGTGGGTTCTGCGGTAACTTAATTGTGCTTCCGCTGTGCTGGGCAAGGGGCCGGCTCTGCTCGGCGCTGTGTGGTTTGAGCTCCTTCCTGAGACGTCGGGGCTCCATCTCTGAGGGTCACTGGGGTCCTGGCAGGGCCCTGGGGCAAACCCCCGCCGGACGGACGGCCTTCTCGCTGGCCTGGCTCCCTGCAGGGGGCCTCACCCACGCTCAGGGGCAGGTGGCGTGTGGGTGCAGGCGGCCGGGGACCCCAGCCCCACAGGCCTGTGCTTTCAACGAGGGGCTTCTCAGTGAGTCGCCCCAGGACCACTGCTGACCGAGCCTGGAGGGGTGCGGCCGGCCCTCCCGCAGGGCACGGTCACACGCGGCCGTGTGTGCACTCACACGTTTCAGCCTCTGCTGCCCCTGGCCCTTCGCACGGGCCGTCGTTCTGGACAAGCACACAGGCCTTGGGAAGCCGGAGTCTCCGAGGAAACGGAAACTCTGCTCTGTTCCTTCCATCGCGTGAGCTGGGCAGCCAGGCGGCGTCTGTCCCAGTCTGCAACCCTGTCTGTCCCGCGTTCCTGGCGGCTCAGGTGGGAAGCCCTGCTCCAGGGCATCTGGGGTGCAGTGTCTGTACCCCCCGAGCTCCCTGCGCCCCCGCAGATGGACCCCTGGCTGGGCTGAGTGGGGCAGCGCTGTGGGAGATACGGAGCATAGAATCAGGCAGCATTGCCAGGCGTCCTGACTGGCAGCCCTTCCTTCTTGTTCTCTTCCAGATTTCTCCGGAAGGTCAGGACGAAGCCCACTGTTCAAGAACAGGAGGCCCCTGACGTTGGCAGAGGCGAGAGCCACCGGACCCCCCAAGCGTACTGAGAAATGTGGGTCCTCGGGGGTCACGGTGCCCGTCGGCTCCAGGCCGTGCGGCGGGTCAGGGCCCTGGGGCTCTGAGTGACCCACCGGACACGCGCAGCGGCCTCGCTGCCCACAGGCACTCGCTGCTGAAGCCCTGCGCGGCCCCTGCCCAGGAGGATGTGCGCCCGCACGGGGGGGCCGCTCACCGCCCTCGCCATGGTGTTCGGGGCAGCCGTGGCATTTGCACCCATGCCTAGGATCACCTGGGAGCACGCAGGTGAGGGCAGAAGCGCCTCAGGCGCTGACGGCATCTGCTCATGGTGCCCACGTGTGTGTGCCACTGGCCGCTGGCTCTGCGCTCTTGGCACTTGCGTGTGAGCAGGCGGCCTGTACACTGGGGGGAGATGCTTCAGCAACCGGAAACGCTCATGGGCTTGCAGGGGCCGCTGATCTGGTCTCTGAGTCAGGCCCCTGAAGGCAGCCCGCCTCGTGCCTGCTGACACCAGCCACGCTGTGTCCTGTTCGGAGGACGTTAACTGCGTGCAGCTGAGCTTCTGGCCAGTGGTTCCCATTTGCTGTTTATTAGTTTGTTTTGTATGTATTTCCTCTCTTGGGAGCTGTGTCTGGGGAGCGGGGCCCCAGCTTGCCAGGCGCACTGGCTGAGCGAGGGGAGCCCGCACAGGGCTCCGGGCAGCAGGTGTGGGGGGCCGTCGTCCCTGTGCCTCGGTCTCCACACGGGGACTCAGAGAGAAGGAGGCATGAACGCCTGGCTCTAGCGCAGTGGTTCTCCACCTTCTGGCCCTTTACATACAGTTCCTCATGTTGTGACCCAGCCATAACATTATTTTCGTTGCTGCTTCATAACTGTCATGTTGCTACTGTTAGGAATCGTTATGTAAATATCTGATATGCAGGATGGTCTTAGGCGGCCCCTGTGAAAGGGTCGTTCGACCGCCCGAGGGGTCGCGACCCACAGGTTGAGAACCGCTGCTCTAGAGTGAGGCCAGAGCGCGGTGACACGCAGAAAGCCAGTGCAGAGCTCTCACATGGATGCGGGTGGTTTAGCGGCTCCTCGGGAAACAACGCCAGCATAGTCGTGTTACCCTGGTGGCTACCCAGCATTCCTCCTGCCCGAACAGCCGCGCTCAGTCAGTGGCCTCGCAGGGAGAAGGCCAGTCCTCTCCGTGTGGCCAGTTTGTGTTGGTTGTCCCTGAAAAATGCCTGGTTAAGGGATATATTCATTGAAGTTGATTTTATTAAAGGCACATCTTTTTGTCTTCTTGAATAAGAACATCCTAAATAGTTAAATGCCGTGTGCACCTAATCTGTGGGTGATTCAAACACAGAGAGAAGAGTTTGGCAGGAGGGGGAGGGAGCCACCACGGTCAGCAGCTTGGGGTGTCTGGCCAGTAATCTCCTGGGGGGTCACAAGGTCATGGTGCCAGGGCCTTGCTGCTGTGGGGTCACTTTCCCGAGAATTCACACACGTAGAGGTCGTGCTCCTGGGAGGCACGCTGCCTGAGGCACATGGGGTGCACGGTTTGGATCTCAAACAGCGGGCTTAGGGAGCCGGGCCCCGCACTGGTCAGCGCAGTGGCTCGGGGCCTCTCAGGGGTCCCACGCACTTGGTGGCTGCCTCAGCGGGTTTGCTCCACCCAGAGGTGCCTGAGCTCTGGCTGGCGGGGCTGGCCACCGTGGTAGGGGGTCCCACCGGCCCTGGCAGCGTGGCACCACACTGAGTGAGACAGGGGCTCAGGGTGTGTCTGGGCACAGAAACGCCTAATGCGCCCCCTCTCCCCAGAGGTGCAGCTGGCGCAGTTTCACCAGCCCGGCATCTTCAACTACTCGGCCCTGCTGCTGAGCGAGGACGAGGACACCCTGTACGTGGGCGCCCGGGAGGCCGTGTTTGCTGTGAGCGCACGCAACGTCTCCCAGAAGCGGCACGAGGTATGGCCCGGGCTCCCTGCCCCTGCGGTCTGGGCTGTAGACCCTTCCGGTGTTTTCTCGAATCAGCACACGGCTCCTCCCCGGGCGTCAGGCCCCTTCCTGGCCATGCTCGCCCCGTGGCGGGGCCTCACAGGCTCCTGTCCGTGGGCCGCGGGCCCTGCCATCCGGAAGCTGCCTTCCTGCTCTGTGTCCACACAGCCCCAGCTCAGGCGTCCCCCACATCCTCACCGGGAACCGCCTCTTTTCAGCTGGGGTTTTTGACGTTATTGAGGACGATCTTGAGGGTGCACAGGAGCAGAGGGAGTGCTGTGACGGACCCTCCACCCACCCAGCCGCGGGCAGGGCTGCCCCTGTCCTCCCCCACACCCCCACCCCCCACTCGCTCCACGTGGCTTTGAAGCAAAACCCAGACAAGGGTCTTCATCTTCTAAGTGTCTCCCTGGAAAGGACTCCTTTTTTTGAAAACCACCAAAATCCCATGATCACATCCAAAAATCAGTTCAGCTCAGAGTGACTGTTGAGTTTGAGTCCAGGGGCGATCAGAGTGCCCCGCACTCTGTCCTTGGGCCCCTTCCCTGACCCCCCTGGGTCCCCCGCTGGGAGAGCCACTGCAGCCCTGTGGGTCCCCGGCCGCCGAGGCAGGTGCTCCTCCGGCTCGACCGCTGCAGCCAGAGCACCTGTATATCAAGGATTGTGAAACGGGACTTTCCAAAGTTCTCCTTCTCCATCTGTGAGCCGGAAATTCCCCTAAAAGGGGAAATGGCCCAGCCAGTGTGGCTCCCAGGTTGAGCGTCAACCCAGGAACTCCACCCCCAGTAGGGGTGCGTGCAGGAGGCCGCTGATCGGTGATGTTCCTCTCTCATCGATGTTTCTATCTTTCTATCCCTCTCCCTTAAAAAAAAAAAATCAATAAATAAAGGGGACATGCCTGTCGCCAGCTAGGGAGACAGTGAGTTTTTGATTGATTTTTTAAGATTACCATGGACTCGTGGATTTAAACATGTTTGAAGCACCTTGGTCGTCGGCATTCATTCGGGACCTCACTTGAGACCCAGCCGGCCCCCTCCCTGACCAGGGCAGCCTCTCCGTGGCCCGAGAGGCCTTAGTGTTGGGGTACCTTTCTCAGTCTCGGACACCAAGGTGGCCAGGTCCATGTGTGTACTTCCTGCTACACGGCACTCCCTTTATCCTCTGTTTTGTGTTGTCTTAATCTCCACAGTCTAGCGTGGTGCCAGTCTCTGACACGTAACTGAGCTTCTGGGCACTGCCCTTCGCAAGTGAGGTGCAGGTGTGGCCCGCGGGAGCCCGGGCCGGGCTGGCCTTGCTCTGTGTGGCATCGCCGCGGCCCCAGGGCGAGGGAGAGGCCGCTGGCCTCCTCTCCCCAGAAGAGGAAAAAGTGGGCGCCACACCTGCGAGCGAGGTCGCGTCCGCCTCCGTGCACCCCACGGAGATGAGGGGGAGGTTACCTGCATCTTAATTTCTGAAGGACGCTGTTTTTGGAAATGGGACTCGATCCTGCTTCCATGTCCGAGCGGCTCCATTTCTCTGAGAACACGGCCGCTGGGAGCCGTTCGTACGGAGGGCACCCGGTTCACTCAGCCACCAGGACGGGACGCCGCCCGCTTCCTGACCTGGACGGCCCGCTTTGATTCTCTGGGTGGAAATATATGTATTTGGCATCGATCCTGGACTAGCACTCGGGGGGGATGGGACAGCGTGGGAAGGAGAGGCGGGGTGGAAGCCCCGGGCCTGGCTCTCCATCTGAGGGCCAGGGACGCTGCTCAGCGCCGCCTGGTGTGAGAGCAGGAGCCGGGCCCGCAGGCGCGGCTGCCCTGCCTGTGAGCCCTGCAGACCCGATCCCACCCGTGCGGACAGTGCGGACAGTGCGGACAGTGCGGACAGGGAAGCAGCGTCAGGGCTTCCTCCCTGGGACTCTGGAGTCGCTGTAAATGGAGTGAGAGAAACCCTCCTTGACGTTTGAAAGCACCTACAGTTTAGCTTGTTGATGAGTGTCACCTGCCCCCTTGCAGAGGCGCAGTTAGTGTCTGTTCCTGCTTGCAGTGAATAACGGGGCCTGGGAGCCGAGGGTCCCGGTCAGAACCCTCCTGGCCTCTGTCCGCTCTCGGCCCACGTGCTGTCTCGGATTCCCCTGTCCGAGGCGTCGGCCCTGCCCTGCTGCTTCGTAAACTGCGTTCTCTGCCAGCGTCCGCTTCCAGACGGGCTGCGCCCTGCAGTGACTCCCCTTCCCCCAACAGGCCTACTGGAAGGTCTCAGAAGATAAACAAGCCAAGTGCGCAGAAAAGGGAAAGTCAAAACAGGTAAATTTTTTTTGCTACAAAAGCCCAGGTGAATGCCTGGCCGCCTCAGTCTGGACACTGCGGCTTCTGGAATGCAGCCTGGGGGTTGTGTCAGGTCTCCCACGACTCACCGACCCCTGTTCCCAAACTGGGTCCCTCAAAGAAAGAATCAAACAGAGTGGGATTTGAGAAATACTTTTTAAAGTTGAACTGAATTGAAATTATTCATGGGGCCTAAAACTTGGGCTGTGGAAAGGGATTTCTGGTGCCTGGGGGGTTGCCATAGGACTCCTGGATTTGGGGCAGCTCTCATCCCTCGGGAACCTGCCCCTCTCCAGGAGGACTGGCACCTCAGTGTGCTGGCCGGGCAGGGAGCGCGGGCCGAGCTCAGGGTCGGGCGCTCTGGGTTACCCCCACCCCCCCGGAGCTGGGCAGGTGTCAGTCTCCGGGTCTCAGAGCCCCACCTTCTTTGGTAGTTGGTGAGGACAGCTGAGCAGGTTATGGTAAATTTCAGCAGTTGTAGGCTATTTTCAAAACAAAACTTTTTTTATAAAAAGGCCAGTGTTGTTTTTTTGCTAAACATTTTTAGCAAAATGCTGCATGCTTCCACTAAAGTCGCTGTATCTAAAGTTACTTCGTGCAGGTTGCGCTGTGGTAACAGCCGTCACAGGGAGCTGTCTTCAAGCTGAATTACAGCGAGCCCTGCCCGCTGGGTGAGGCACAATGGTCCCTCCCGGCTCCTGCCAGAGGCCACGAATTACTTCCAACCAGATCTAAAGCCGCCACAGCAAAACAGCTTCCCTCCTATGCATAATTTCAGACGACAGCACATACAACCCCAGCACATTTCACCTAAAATAGCGGGTGGGCCCTTAAGTGGCACCTGGCTTTCCCGCAGCCTTTCTGATGTGGCGCCAGGCTCCGAGCCCTCCGCAATCCAGCCTCTCCCCTGGGCTGGGCAGCCGGACCAGCCCATCCCCAAGCGCCGTTTCCAGTTTCATGGGTTTGGGTGGGAGGGTGGGTGAGGGAGCTGCACAGCGTGCCCCCGCAGGCCTGGCACCAGGGCATGGTCTGTGTTCAGTGAGCAGAAACGCTTCCTGTGGGGAGGTCAGCTTTCACTGCTTCTGTGGCCAGCCCCTCTCTTCTGGGTACAAATTAGCAACTGCAGTGATGCCTCCTGGCACCTGACAGCCAGCCTGTGGGCCCTGCACAGAAAAGCACTCAGTCCAGCAGCAGAGGAGGTTCGCCCGGGGCGGGGCGGGGTCTCTGCGCCTGCTCTCCCTGCAGCTGGCAGGGCGGGGCTGGTGCGGGAAGATGGGCACTGCAGCCCGGTGGGAGGGCACAGTCAGTGCACGGGCGGAGCTGCATGTCGGGAGCCCGGGTGGGCACCTGCTCGGCGGGTTCCAAGCTCGGGCGTGGGCGGTGCCACTAGGGTGGATGTGGAGGCGTCCGGTGGAAGCTGGTTAACTGCGTTTTTCTTTCTTGTAGACCGAGTGTCTCAACTACATCCGAGTGCTCCAGCCGCTTGGCACCGCTGCCCTGTACGTGTGCGGGACCAATGCCTTCCAGCCGGCCTGTGACCACCTGGTGAGGCCCGGCCCCGCCAGCGTTAAAGCAGAGCGGGCTCCTCAGGCCCGGGGGCTGCCTTGTGCAGGACAGAGGCTGCTCCAGCTCCAGGCTCTGCCTCCCCCGGCCCGGAGCCCTGTCTGCAGGCGGTCATGAGGAGGGTGTGGGGAGGGCTCCTGACTGGCTCCTGAGGGTATCAGAGCCAGGAGCGGGCAGGCGTCAGGCCGCACGTGCGCCTCCCTCGGTGCCCTGACAGCGCGTCTGAAAGTAATACTGCAGCAGAGATGCCTCGTCTGACAGATGCAGACATTCGAGGACCCTTTCTTTCCATTCAATTGCAGGACCTGGCGTCTTTTCAGTTTCTGGGGAGAAACGAAGACGGCAAAGGAAGATGTCCCTTTGACCCGGCACAGAGCTACACGTCTGTGATGGTCGGTGAGTCGTGCGGTGGCTGTCCCCGGCAGGGCTGTGCTGGCAGCTGAGGCGCTCACAGGACCAGGACGCAGCGCCTCCCCTTCTCGGGTCCCCTGCGTCCCTTCCAGAGTCCCGTCCTCAGAGGGCGCCGGCGCCTCTGCAGAGACGCAGCTCGGCTCCTGAATTCATTGCCCAGAGGAGAGCAGCCCCGCGCGGTCCACACGGCTGCCCAGGCTGTCCTGCGCTGTTTGTGCGGGTCCCCTGGCCCCGTGGCCGCGTGGAGTCGCACTCCCGTTGAGGGGAGGGTTGTGGCTGAGCCCTGGAGGGTCCCGCACGGAGGCAGGGAGGCCCTGCGCCCGCGTGCACCTCTGTCCCTGACTCATAAAGCAGTTCAACAAGGAGCCTGAGACTGTCCGTGTCAGGAAAGGAGCTGACGCAGGCGCCATGTGTCCCGGGCGGAGGAAAGTGAGGTGCTAAGGCCCCCCCGCTCCCCGCACCATGCTGACGCCCTTCTCCTCTCCTCCTGGTCCCGAAGACGGAGAGCTTTACTCTGGGACGTCATACAACTTTTTGGGAAGCGAGCCCATCATCTCCCGGAATTCCTCCCTCAGTCCTCTGAGAACGGAGTACGCGATACCTTGGCTCAACGGTAAGAAGCAGCGGGGTCCCTGAAGGTGTGTGTCCACTCAGGCAGCCGCCTCGCCAGGACTGCCCCACATGCTATATTTCTAGAACCTTCTTTCGGCTCGACCTCACGTGGGCCCCGCGCTCTCACCACTGGTGCGGGGGGCGCTCTGGGCCTGCTCGGGCTGCACAGCCAGCCTCCGGGGCTTCCATGGCGTCTCCACGGAGCAGCTGTAAGGCTGTGTAAGGCCACCTCTCCCCCTCCGCCCCCGGACATGCACCGGCTTTCATAGAGCGGGGCTCTGAAGGCGGTGGGAGCTCAGGCTGGCCAGGTCGGCCTGGGGTGGGATTGGGTCACCCTCGGCGGCACGTGTCCACGTCACATTCATGGAGCGGGTGGCTCGAGGCCACTCACAAGGCCTTTCTCGTGGGCGCCGGCCAGCAGGCCTGGGCCCTGAAGCCTACCGGGCTCTCAGCTGGACTCGCAGAGGCGGGAGGTCTGAGGGACAGCGACTCCTCCTCGGTGCGGGGCAGCCGGCGGGCTGGGGCCCCGAGCTGTGGGCAGGGGTGTGTCAGAGGCGTGAGCTGTTTAGACCAGCAAATGCACATCTGCTTACGGGTCCCCGCAAGTGGGGACGGGGGATCTGGTTCCTGGGCCCCGGCTGCCTGCCGGTGGGAAGGCCCAGCCTCGAGTGCGTGGGGTTGGTCAGGCGAGTATGCTTCAGAACCACATCCAGGGCACCAGAGGCTGAGGAGGGCGAGATGGGCACCCTCATCCCTCGAGACCCTGCAGTGTGCTTGGACATGGCACATGCACCCTCCGTGTCTTGTAGGGGCACATGTGCAGAAGCATGGCCGGGTCCCTCCATGTGTGCAGGGACGTGCCCAGGACCTTCTGTGTACGGAGATGTTTGGGAATAACCGGGTCTCTCCCCGCAGAGCCCAGCTTTGTCCATGCCGATGTGATTCGAGCGAGCCCGGAAGGCGCCGAGGGCGGGGATGACAGGGTCTACTTCTTCTTCACGGAGGTGTCTGTGGAGTACGAGTTTGTCTCCAAGTTGATGATCCCCAGGGTCGCGCGGGTGTGCAAGGTGAGGCCGCTCCCCGGTTCTCTCTGATTCCACCTGTGCACACAGCACCTCGCCCAGGCCCCACCCCCCTGCTCAGTGCCACAGAGGTCAGGTGGGCGGCCCCTCCGCTCGGGCATCCGGAGGGAGCTGGAGCCCAGGGAGCTTGGCACCTCTGAGTGGCCGGTGCCTGGCCTCCTGGCCTCAGAGGGTCTGCTCTGCACGCACCTTCCTCAGACCTCGCCCGGTAGCAGAGAGCGCCTGCTGTCACCGCAGTGACCGAGGCTGTGGGACTGGGACTTCTCCGTTCCAGGGTAAAGGCGGGGCGGGCTCGCTGTGATTGTGTCCACAGTAGGTGAGGGCGCTCGGCTTTGATCCCCTCTGCACCCACGTTCCCGAGTCTCAGGCCTTCTCTGCGGGCCAGGTCGCTGCCGGTGCGATTTACGATCGGCCCTGGCGGTTCATGGAGAGCCCGGCAGGTCCAGAGCACTTGAGCAAAAACTTGGGGGGAGGAGGGGAGTGCAGACCTGCTCTGCCGTGAGGAACATTGGGGGAGACCAGACCTACACCCATTGGCCTAGGACGACTGGGGCGCCAGTGCGTGGGCTGCTCTGGCTCCGGCCCCTCGTGGGCAGGTCACGAGCTGGAAATGTGCAGCCACCGGGATGGGCCGTGCGAGGGGGCCGCGGTGTCACCGAGCGTGGGCAGGTTCCAGCGCCGTCCGGCTGCCACAGCGGCTTTTCCCCAGCGGGTTGGGTTCTGTGGTTGGGGGAACCTGCGACCCAAGCTGCGGGGAAGGGGTGCTGGGCTCACGGGGTGTCTGCAGAGGCTTCCCTCTCAGCCAGGGCTGCTTTTCATTCAGGCACAGCCATGGCCCCGGCTGGCGGGGCCCCCCCACGGGGACTCTGCCCATCCTGCTATGCACGTCTCTGCGTTTCAGGGGGACCAGGGCGGCCTGAGGACCTTACAGAAGAAGTGGACCACCTTCCTGAAGGCCAGGCTGCTCTGCTCCAGGCCGGACGGCAGCCTCTTCTTCAACGTGCTGCGCGCCGTCTTCGTCCTCAGGGCCCCGGACCTGAAGGAGCCCGTGTTCTACGGGGTCTTCACCCCGCAGCTGTGAGTGCTGTTGGAGGGTGCGTTGGGGAGGGGGGGGGGGGTCGGGCTCTTCGCCGCCGCCCCCTGCAGGCAGTGACGTGGCCCTTCCTCCCCAGGAACAACATGGGGCTGTCGGCCGTGTGCGCCTACAACCTGTCCACGGCCGAGGCGGTCTTCTCCCGCGGGAAGTACATGCAGAGCGCCACCGTGGAGCAGTCCCACACCAAGTGGGTGCGCTACAGCGGGCCAGTGCCCTCGCCCAGGCCCGGGGCGGTGAGTGAGGGGCCTGGCTGCGGGCACCTGGTGGGGGGCCAGCCATGCTGGGCCTGCACCTCGCTGCACACCCCGGGCCTCGCGGGGTTTGAGTGGTCTCCGCGGGGAGCGGGCGTCCCCCTGGACTGGGCAGGGCGACAGGCACTCTGTCCTCCTCCTGCGTCCCGTCCTCGGCATGTGTGACGGCTGTTGCTGCCCAAGCAGGAGCTCCTCCGGCTGCAGGGGGTGTTCTGTGGAAGTAACTGCATGATATCGTCAGATCTGTTTCACTTCCTGTTTCCTGTAGAGAAACGATTTCTCGGCAAAGACATGAGCTACACTCTCCATTCATTAATATGAATCATTCTTTGTCTCTTAAAAGTGGTGCATTTTATATAGAAACCAATTTCTAGGTAGATTCGGCTGTGTCTGCTCGCCCTGTGCCCGGGTGTGCGGGTGCCCGGGTGTGTGGGTGCCCAGGTGTGTGGGTGCCTGGGCGTGTGGGTGCCCGGGTGTGTGGGTGCCTGGGCGTGCGGGTGCCCGGGTGTGCGGGTGCCCGGGTGTGCGGGTGCCCGGGTGTGTGGGTCCCAGGTGTGTGGGTGCCCAGGTGTGTGGGTGCCCGGGTGCCCGGTGTGTGGGTGCCCGGGAGTGCGGGTGCCCGGGTGTGTGGGTGTGCGGGTGCCCGGGAGTGCGGGTGCCCGGGTGTGTGGGTGTGCGGGTGCCCGGGGTGTGGGTGCCCGGGTGTGTGGGTGTGCGGGTGCCCGGGAGTGCGGGTGTGCGGGTGCCCGGGCGTGTGGGTCCCGGGCGTGTGGGTCCCGGGCGTGTGGGTGCCCGGGTGTGTGGGTGCCTGGGTGTGCGGGTGTGTGGGTGCCCGGGCGTGTGGGTCCCGGGCGTGTGGGTGCCCGGGCGTGTGGGTCCCGGGCGTGTGGGTCCCGGGCGTGTGGGTGCCCGGGTGTGCGGGTGCCCGGGCGTGTCGGTGCCCGGTGTGTGGGTGCTCAGGTGTGTGGGTGCCCGGGCGTGCGGGTGCCCGGCGTGTGGCCCCGCGGACTGCCTTTCCCCCGACACCAGCTACTGTTTCCTCAGGCACATTATTAAGTAAAACACGTCCACTTGGGGCCCCAGGTCTTGGCCTGTGCAGTCAGGAGCCAGGACAGAAAAGGACACTCCTGCGCCTTCGTGCTGGTTAGAAGTGGACCATTTTTAGCAATTTTCTCACCAGTCTTCTCTTCTGATGGGAGAGCTATCAAATCATGTTTATTTTTTAACTTTAAAATCTTAGTACTTTTTTTCATTGATAAGTAGATAAAAATGGCCTCACTGGCTATGTGTCATGAAACATAATTATGCTAGTATCTTGGGGATAAAAGACAGTCACACTTCCACGTGCCACAGCTGTCTTCAGGTTCAGGGAGGGCCTCTTGGTTCCCCTCTTTCAAGAAACCCACTGTGGAGTCCCTGGCTCTGCGCCTCCCGGGCCTGGCCTTGTGCAGAGTGCGCAACGTCCGTGGGTCACGGGTAACCGCCGGTCTGTCCCTGCAGTGCATCGACCGCGAGGCGCGGGCCGCCAACTTCTCCAGCTCTCTCAGTCTGCCCGACAAGACGCTGCAGTTCGTCAAAGACCACCCTCTGATGGACGACTCTGTGACCCCGACAGGCAACCGGCCCCGGCTGGTCAAAAGTGGTGTGAACTACACCCAGATTGTGGTGGACAGGACCCAGGCCCTGGACGGGACTGTGTACGATGTCATGTTTGTCAGCACAGGTGGGTCCCGGGCCGTGGTCACACCCTGGCTACGTCCCCCTGCACTGTGCCCAGTGGAGCAGCCTCTCCCAGGGGCCCTGGGCAGTGTGCACCTCTTAGAAGTCTCCCCCCCGTGGCTTAAGATCCAGACCTCAGACCACCTGGGGCACTGGTGAGAAACGCAGGCCCTGGCCCAGACCTGGAAACTCAGGTCGGGTAAGTCTGGGCTGGTGCCCAGGGAGCCGGAGGAGAGTGGAGGAGAGCAGGCGGCAGCACCTCCTCCCGCCCGTCCTGACCTGCAGGGGGCACTGCTCCCCAGAGGCCCCGGGATTAGGAAATGCAGGTGCTGGGCCGGCCTGGGTGCTTCCCAGTCGCGCCTCTGAGCAGCAGGGAGGGCCCACCCTCCCCTGGGGGCCACCGGGCAGCATGGCGCCCAGAGGATGGTGGGGCCCGGAAACCCTGCAGGTTGGACGGATGGCAGTGCTGGCTGTGCTGGTAAGGGTGTCGGGTCAACAGTGAGACCTTAGTTCATTCTTCACAAAAACTGGGACTAAGCGGTGCCACCTGATTCCTGTGGTTTATTTTGCCGTGGCTTTTCCTTTTCCATTTCTAATGCAAAAGCGCGGTCCTCGGCTAAGTGTCTTGCTAAGGGCAGGAGTGGAGAGGCAGAGGGGGGCGCTGACAGCTCTGGCAGCGCGTCCCCCTTCCCGGGGTCACTGACCGGGCTCTGACCTTGCAGACCGGGGCGCCCTGCACAAGGCCATCAGCCTGGAGAGCGATGTCCACATCATCGAGGAGACGCAGCTCTTCCAGGACCTGGAGCCAGTTCAGACCCTGCTGCTGTCCTCCCAGAAGGTGAAGGGACTACGTGGTGGGGGCGGCCTCACCTCTCAGCGGCCACTGGGCTGGGGGGCGGCCTCGTATCTCAGCGGTCACTGGGCTGGGGGGCGGCCTCGTATCTCAGCGGCCACTGGGCTGGGGGGCGGCCTCGCGTCTCGGCGGTCACTAGGCTGGGGGGCAGCCTCACATCTCAGCGGTCACTGGGCTGGGGGGCGGCCTCGTATCTCAGCGGCCACTGGGTGGGGGAGGTGGCCTCGCAGTCACTGGGTGGGGGGGGTGGCCTCACGTCTCAGTGGTCCCTGGGCTGGGGGATGGCCTCGCGTCTCAGTGGTCCCTGGGCAGGGGAGTGGCCTCGCGTCTCAGTGGTCCCTGGGCTGGGGGATGGCCTCGCGTCTCAATGGTCCCTGGGCTGGGGGGTGGCCTCGCGTCTCAGTGATCCCTGGGCTGGGGGGTGGCCTCGCGTCTCAGTGATCCCTGGGCTGGGGGGCGGCCTCGCGTCTCAGTAGTCACTGGGCTGGGGGGTCGCCTCGCAGTCACTGGGCTAGGGGGTGGCCTCGCGTCTCAGTGGTCCCTGGGCTGGGGGGTGTAGCCTCGCAGTCCCTGGGCTGGGGGGTGGCCTCGCGTCTCAGTGATCCCTGGGCTGGGGGGCGGCCTCGCGTCTCAGTAGTCACTGGGCTGGGGGGTCGCCTCGCAGTCACTGGGCTAGGGGGTGGCCTCGCGTCTCAGTGGTCCCTGGGCGGGGGGGTGTAGCCTCGCAGTCCCTGGGCTGGGGGGCGGCCTCGCGTCTCAGTGGTCCCTGGGCTGGGGGGCGGCCTCGCGTCTCAGTGGTCCCTGGGCTGGGGGGCGGCCTCGCGTCTCAGTGGTCCCTGGGCTGGGGGGCGGCCTCGCGTCTCAGTGGTCCCTGGGCTGGGGGGCGGCCTCGCGTCTCAGTGGTCCCTGGGCTGGGGGGTGGCCTCGCGTCTCAGTGGTCCCTGGGCTGGGGGGTGGCCTCGCGTCTCAGTGATCCCTGGGCTGGGGGGTGGCCTCGCGCCTCAGTGGTCCCTGGGCTGGGCCAGAGGCCCTTTGTCCATCTCGCCCAGAGGAGCTACCTTTGGGCTCTCACAGAGAGTCCTTTGCTCCTTGGGGTCGGGGATGGAGAGAAGGCAATCTGGGGAGATTAACTTTCTCCTGAAAGTTGGCAGAACCTCGCTGGGTTGTTGGGCACCACACGATGTGTGTGTGGTACGTGCTGGCCTGCAACAAAAACACTTCCATGCCCTGAGCTTACGCGGGAGACCCCGCAGTACCTGCCTCTGCAGGAGCTCATCAGCTCAGAGGGCCTCCCTCCGGGCACCGCTCCCTGCCCTCCGACGGCACGGGCTCCTGCATCAGGTCAGCAGCCTCTCCTGGAAAGGTCAAGATTGTGAGGCTCTGAGGGCCACGCGGCTCCATCCTGCCGTGCACAGGAGTGTGTGGCCCATCCACGAGCCCGTTTGTGCGCCTGCAAAGCCTCGGTGATGGGCACTGAGCTTGCAGGTCATGAAATTTCCATTTCATGTCACAAGTATTCCTTTGAGTTTTCTTCAACCAATTATAAATGCAAAACCAATTATTAGCAATTGGGCTGCATGAAGCAGCCAGGAGCTGGACTTGCCGCGGGCCACAGGTGGTGCCCTGGTGTCCCCCGCAGTGGCCGGATGTGTGCCCATTTCATGGCTGGAGTGGAGCTGGGGGCAGCACAGTGCAGGCCGAGCACCAGGTCGCCCGGTCAGTCCCCAGCCCCAAGCGCCTGGCTGTGAGCCTGAGCAGGCCAGTCCTGCCCCGTCCCCTCATGTGCACAGTGAGGACAGCGGACCATATGTAGGAGTAGCCTAGCCTAGCCCCACGCTGTGATCCCGGGCTGATGGGCCCCGGGGCCTTGGCAGTGCCAGGGTTAATGCTGGAGATTGGAGGTGGGCTGTGTGTCCTGTTCCCCTTGGCTGCAGGCACACCCTTCGCTTGCAGCCTGTCTCAGAGCCTCGCTGTCTCCTACCCTGCTCTGTGGCCAGCACTTTGGTGTGACTGCACCCCCAGCGGCCCTCCCTGTCCGGGGGGGTGGGGGGGGGGCTTTCACAGCCCTCTGTAACTTGCCCTTCCTGGCACCTGGCGGGAGTCTCCAGCCAGCTCATGGGCCAGGCCCACTGCGGCCCACTCCTCCCTTGGCTCCAAACAGTGGGCCGCCTGGCATTGCTGAAGAGACCAAGAAGCCCACATGTTGCTCGGGCAGGGCCAGCACCCTGGGGGCCTCCACATGGGTGAACGTCTGTCAGTCACCCAGTGCACATATGCGGTGAGGGCTGGCTCTGCTCTGCTCCGCAGTGTCATTCAGGGGCCTAGGTGTGTCTGCGTCCTAAAACCAAGGCTTCCGGGGCACTGGGATGCTGATCCAGTAGCCAGGAGAAGGGACAGGGGCAGGTATGGGTGGTTACGGGTCAGTCCCGTGCTCACATGCCTTCGGCCAGGACTTGGTCACGCGGCCACACCCGGAGGGGGTTTGGCCATGCAGGAAGCCTCGCACCCCGGGGGGCGGTTTGCCTGTCCCCGCAAGAGCCCTCTGCACCGGGGCGTGGCCTGTTGCCTAGAACAGGTGTGACTGTACCCGCACGCCATGGCCTCCTTGCCTCTCCGCGGGCTGGTGGGCTCAGGGTGGGGGTGCCAGCAGTGCCGTGGGGCAGCAGGAAGCTGGTGTTCAGGGCTGAAAAGAGCCCCATGCTCCCTGCCCACCAGGTCTTCAGCATCGGTGGCGCCTGACTTGCTGCCGAAAGCTGGTGAGCAGCTCATAGGCTGCGGGAGCGCGCAGGACCGCACGGCCCTCGGCTCCCCGTCCCTGCCTCTGCGCCCCTGTTTATTGTGATAAACACACACCACGTAAAGCTTACCACTTCCGCGTCTAAGTGTGCACTTCAGCAGCATCGAGTGCACTCACACTGTCATGCCGCCATCACCATCTGTCTCCAGAACTCATTCATCTTGCAAATCTGAGCCTCCATCTCCACTAAATCCCAACTCCCAGTACCCCGCTCCCCGCCCCCCCCCCCCGGCCCTGGCACCCACCATCTGCTGCCCACCTGTGAGCTTGGCTCTCCTGGGGACCGGCATCGGGGGGTCACATACTTGTCCTTTGGGGACTGACGGACTGTGCTCAGCAGAATGCCCTCGGGCTCATTCGGGCTGCACTGTGCCAGAACTCCCTTTTCAAGACTGAGTCACACTCCACTGTGCGGAGGGACCACATTTCGTCATCCGTTCCCCATTGACGGCACTCGGTTGCCCCCACCCTGGGCCCTTGTGACCACGGTGCTCTGAACAGACGGACAGACGCCGGTTGGGCTCCTGCTCTCAGTTCTGTGGGGCAGACTTGGCAGGTGTGCTCTGCACCGTCGCCTGGGAGCTCCCAGAGCAGGCGGCGTCTCCTGTCCACGAGGACACTCAGTGGGGAGACAGCCGCCTGGCCAAGGAGAGAGAGCACCTTAAACGGCCCCTTCCGCTGGGCCCACGTCCGCCCTACAGCACCCCAGGCTGCGTGGCCGGTGGGCGGCGAGCCCCGGGCTGTGGGTGAGGCACAGTCCCCGGAGGGGCCGCGGCCGGTGAGGGTGGAGGAGGGGGCTGGGCTCTCAGCGGACCTTGCAGGCGCTGGGCAGTCCTCGTCAGGATGTTTTCCCTTTACTTTAAAGTGTTTTATTTTGAAATAATTTTAAACTCAAGGAAGAGAGGTGAGTGCGGGGAGCCCCGCAGGCCCCTCCCCAGGCGCACTGCCTCACCTGGAGGGCGCTGCTGGCCGGCACTCACTGAGCGCCAGACGGTGGGTGCTCCCCTGCCCGTCATGTCATTTTGGGCTCCGGGGTCCCCGGGGTTGGGGGGCTCCCGGCAGCCCAGGCCCCAGTTCGGTGCTGTGGGTGCACATTTCGTGCGGGTCCTCCTGGGCTCTGAGGCTTTTGAAGTGGCCCCTTGGCCTTGCGCCCCAGGAAGGGTTCTCACTGCAGGCATGTGGTTCCCTGGGACCTGGCGGCAGTGCCGTGGCCCAGCACCCTAACCGGGGGCCCAGTGTCCACAGACGTGCACAGTGGCCGCAGGGCCTGCGTCCCGGCTCCCTGTGCGGCTGCGTGCGGAGGGGCCCTGCCCTTTCTCTCGGCGGCGCCTGCCACGCCGGGTCTGTGGCCTCTGATGCCTCGCAGGCCGGAGGTCGGGGCCACGCCGGCACCTGAGCTCCAGCGGCCGGGAAGTTCATTCAGTCCTGGCCTCTGAAGGCAGCGGCTGCGGGTCTCATCTGTGCAGACACGGAGTCTTCTCACGTGGACCAGGTGTCGGGCGACACGGAGGCTCCCAGGCAGAGGTGGAGAGCGCAGCACCGGGGTGCGCGCCCTGAGTCTGCTGGGGGACTTGCGTGGGGCCTCGTTCCAGCCAAGCTCAGTGAAGCATCCGCTGGCCGCAGCCTGTGTGCCAGCTGTCTGCCAGCCCGGGCCCTGCAGGAGGGTCAGAGGGTGGCACCCCCACACTGACACGGGGCCCGCTGAGCCGGCTTCAGAGCGCGGCGGTCAGGTTCCCTCTGCGTGGTGCCCCCGCGTCAGTGCAGCGTGTGAGGCGGATGCCTCGGGCTCCTGTTCCTTTCCTGGCGTGTGTTCACTCTCCAGCGACCTGTCTGCACCTCCAACTCTGGGCCGTGCAGGATTCAGACACGGCTCCGCGCTCCGGTGCCCACATCGGGTTCTGAGGTTGTGCCCTGTGGCCTCGGGCCTGTAGTGAGGCCTGGCTGGCCGGCTGGGGCTCTCCCTCCAGAGGGGCTGGTCGGGCGAGAGATGCGCTCTGCTGGTGGTCGGGGTGACGGGGGTGCCTGGACATGAGGGAGGGTCGGGCCGAGGCCCGTGCTCTCTGTGTTGGCAGGTTCTGCTCGCGCCATGCGCTGCTCGCGCTGTCACACCTGCACGCGGGTTCGTCCGGAGTGGGACCCGCCTCAGTTCTGAGCGAGGGGGCTCCTCCTCCTCCAGGAAGCACCGCATCACGGCTCCCTGAGGCTGGAGAAGATGCCCTTGGCCCCGCCAGCACGCTGGCTCCCGGGCCTGCTGTGCTCACCAGTTTATATCCACAGGGAAGAAGGTTCATCTATGCCGGTTCCAACTCGGGCGTGGTCCAGGCCCCAGTGGCCTTCTGTGGGAAGCACAGCACCTGTGAGGACTGCGTGTTGGCCCGGGACCCCTACTGCGCCTGGAGCCCGGCCACGGCGGCCTGCGTGGCCCTGCACCAGACCGAGAGCCCCCGCAGGTACCGGCGGGGGGAGGCGCGCATGCAGGGGCTCCGCCCGCCCTTCCCGAGCGAGCCCGTGCCCACTCTGCCCTTGTTTTGCAGGGGTCTGATCCAGGACATGAGCGGGGAAGTGTCCGCTTGCCCCGGTAAGTTGCTCGTTCTCTCTCGCTCCCTTCAGGAATGGCCTCTCGTAACCATTTCACGATGCTTTGGTGCTGTGGCATCTTGCGCATTTTCTTTCTCGCCGGAGCGGAGGGCCAGTGTCTGGCAGGCCTTGTGGCTTCCCTGGGCCTCTAGTTGCAGAAAGGATGGGTGCGGCCACAGAGTGTGTGTGTGTGTGTGTGTGCGTGTGTGTGTGTGTGTGTCCCAGAGGCACTGTCCAGCGTGATGCCCTCCCTTGAGATGCATCTCTCTCCTCTTAGCTCGGGCTCAGGGAGCACGTCCTACCCCTCTGCGCGGAGGAAGGGTTAGTCCTCTAGCCGTCACGTCCAGGTGGGTGGCGTTCCCGTGGGCGACCCCAGTGCTGCGGGGGTCAGGGTGCTGTGGACAGCGAAGGCAGGTTTAGGAGGAGGGCATGCCAGGCTGCGGTGTGCGGTAGCCGCTAGCAGAAGCGCGTCGTGTCTGACTCAGAGCGTGGCTGTCAGAACGCGCACCTGGCCGGCGCTCAGCCTCCCCACCTGCGGTTTTTCTCCCAGGAAGCCAGGGTGTGAGACGGATTTCTGCTGCTCAGAGGTGCCTCCGAGTCTGTCCCCAGGGCCTGCCATCGAGGGCTCATCTTGCTTTCTGCTCATGCATGTCTTTATCTCCTTAGTTGTTCTGGAAGAGTCTCTGTTGGTCCTGTGGGTGGAACTCTCATGTCCTCTTGTGCGTGTTGACTGTGTTTAACGGAAGTCACGTAGCGAGCAGGGTTGTTGACACTGCACGTCTATTTTGATGTTCCAGATGAAAGTAAGGGAAGCTCCCGGCAGCATTTTCTCAAGCATGGCGGCACCGCAGCGCTCAAATGCTCCCCAAAGTCCAACCTGGCGCGGGTGGTGTGGAGGTTCCAGAGCGGCGTGCTCAGGGCCGAGGGCCCCAAGTACAGCCTGGTGGGCGGGACCCTGCTCATCTTCAACCTGTCGGAAGGAGACAGCGGGGTGTACCAGTGCCTGTCCGAGGAGAGGGTCAGGAACAAGACGGTCTCGCGGGTGATGGCCAAGCACGTGCTGGAGGTCAGGACGGCCCTCCGGGCCCCAGGGGCCTTCTCCTCGCCAGCCACCCGGACAGAAGGTGCCGGGCTCCCCCCCGACGTGTCAGCGGGGCCCGTCCGAAGCTCCTCTCCCCAGACCCCGGCGGGGCGGCTCACCACGCCTTCCGGCCCGGCGCCCACCAGCGCGCCCTGCGAACCAAAGGTCATCATCCACACCGTTCCCCAGGTCCAGTCGGAGAAGACCCTGTACCTCAAGTCCAGCAACGACCGCCTCCTCTTGTCCCTCTTCCTCTTCTTCTTCGTCCTCTGCCTCTGCCTCTTTTCCTACAACTGCTACAAGGGCCTCCTGCCCGGGCCGTGCCTGCGGTTCCGCTCCGCCCTGCTGCTGGGGAAGAAGCAGCCCGCCTCAGACTTCTCCGACTGTGAGCAGAGCGTGAAGGAGACGCTGGTGGAGCCGGGCAGCTTCTCCCAGCAGAACGGGGGGCAGCCCCGGCCGGCCCCCGACACCGGCTACGAGACAGAGCAGGACACCACGGCCAGCAGGGCGCCCACCGACAGGGAGGACTCGCAGAGGATCGACGAGCTCCCGGTCAGGGACAGGCCGTTCGACGTCAAGTGCGAGCTGAAGTTCGCCGACTCGGATGCGGACGGGGACTGAGGCGCTGCGGGGAGGGTCTTTGTGTTCCTGTGCAGTAGCCTCGTCCCGTGCCCCCTGAGTAGCCCGTCCTCTGCAAACCTCAGTCTTGTGTCTTTTCTCTTGGGGTGAACTCGTGACTTGGTTTCTCTTTGTCCTTTTGGAAAACGGCGAGCCTCCTCGTCCGTCGGTCAGTCGGTGGGAGCCGCAGATGTGCCCGTGGGCGGGGCGGTGGCCGGGCAGCCGCTGGCCTGGAGCGGCACGAGACCGTCGCCTCAGAAAGCAGCCCGAGAGGCCCTCTCCTCCCAGGTCGGAAAGGACGCGTAGTTGATCGGTGGGTCCTGGGTCGCCTGCCGTCCAGGTTGGCACGAAGCTCTTCCTCCACATAATTGTTTCTAGGCTTTTGCTTTGAGTTGAAGTGTTCGGTCATCTATTGTTTCGGCCACTAAAGCAGATGCTTTAATATTTAGAAGATGCACATCTTCTGGTTTTGCTGTACGTTAGGACACGCTATGGCTTCCGTTGCTGGAGGTTCTCAGGGATAAACTTACTTTCGCTAAATGCGTTCTCTCTGCTTTTGGAAATGCAGGCAAAGCCACCTGTTGAGCACACTGACTTTTTCAACATTTCATTCCTAAGGGAGGCGTCCTTTCAGAGAAGATTTCTTTCTGTACCATTTTTCTCGTTTTAAGTCTTGAAGAGGAGCAGGCGTGGGGGACTGCCCCGTGACCACCGGCAGGGTTTTGAGCGAGGACGGTGGCCCCTGGGGAGCCTGGCTGGCCCAGAGCGCAGGGACAAGCGATTCACAATCCATTGCCCATGGCCACTGGAGTCTGATCATCCGAACATCTGTTCCTCTTGGCTTCCGTTCCACACCGCTTACCCAGCAGCCTTTCCACTTGGCCGACCTGAGCGTCCACAGCTGGGAGAGTGAGCAGGGAGGGCGGGCGTGTCCACGGTGCTGCGGACCCGCCCTGCGGACCGGGGTGGCCTGCGCGTCTTTAAGGTGGGGCGGGCGGGCGGTGCAGTTTAACAGCACGGACCTCACCGTCCACGGACCTCACCGTCCACGGACCTCGCCGTCCACCTCCGCTGTCCAAACGCCCACAAGAGGAGACCTTTCCGAGGCAAAGCAGTAACCTGGATGTGTGTCCTGTGCGGACAGCGTGATAGGGTTCCACTGTGTTGGTGTAAACATTTGTGTTTTATAAGATTTAATTTGTTGTTATTTTTCTACTTTGAATTGTATACATAACCGAATAAATGAGAAGCTTATATCCTGATGTAGGCATGTGATTTGCTGAGGCCGTGCGGCCCCCTCCTGACAGGGTGCAGGTGTGGGTCTCCCGGCCCCTCTTGGACCGGCCTGGCAGGCAGGACCGCGTAGGCCCTTCTCTTCCTCAACGCGTTTCCCGTCTCTGCATGTGCTGTGCTCGTGACGACTCCTGCCTCAGTGCTCTCTCTTTTCTGTCCTCTGTCTCGCAGCCTCATCTCCTATGCCCTCCCCTCCTCCGGGGTCCTCCTCCCTGTCCTGTCTGGGCCCCGACTCGTCCTCCTCTCCCCGAAGCCCCTGGCTGGCCCCGGGCTCTGGGCCTGACGGCCGCCTGCGGGCCACCTTGCTGCCGCCCTTCCTCAGCGACCAGGCCCAGCACGTGCCTGCCCTGGGGACCTTCCACCTCTTCTGCCAGGCCACAGGTGAGCGGGGCACCTGGCGAGGGGGCGGGGGGCAGGGGCCTCCGGCTGCATCTCCCAGCAGCCCCGGGAGCTTCGTGGTCAGCCCATAGCTATGCCTCCGGACAGCGGGCCAGCCAGCTTTTCCCGCAAAGACTACTGTTAGCGGTTCTAGGCTCCGCAGTCAGGGTTTCTGCCACACCTGCTCAGCTCTGCCCGATGGCCCGTGAGCTGCCCGCAGTGGGTGTGGCTGCGCATCGACCAAACTTCGTTTACAAACACCAGCCTCGGCCACACGTGGCCCAAAGGCCCCGGCTTGGCAGCCGCTGGTCTGTGGAGCGACTGTCGAACTTTTTCATCTCGTGCACATGTAAACTAATGACTAAAATTCTGTGGCACTGCAAAAATATTTTTTTCCACTTTGACAAAAAAAAAAAAAAAAAAAAGGTGTAATTTTGATTCATTCACACCGGATGGTTGTCATTTCCTATTTGACAATCTAAGAGAAAAGAAGCCGGTGCCCCTGGCTCGTCAGGCACTGCACGCTTTAAATCGTGGTCTATAGGGTTACTTCTGTGTCTGAGAACGGTGTGGGTATTTCAGGAATTAACCCAGGGCCTCTGGAGTGGGAACTGTGTCAGCGACTTGCGTGATGATGTTTACATGCGGGAAAGACAGCCCTGTGGGCGCCCTCGGACCGGGAGGGCTCCCCGGCAGCACTGGGGGGCGGGGGGGGCGGAGGAGGGGGTGCAGCAGGTAGCCCACCTTGGAGCGTGCCCCAGGCTTCAGGCAGTGCCTGGGCGCCCAGGTCTCCCATGTGTGGGCGTCTGAATAGCCACAAAGAGAAAAGATGTTACAGGCCTGGGGGTCCTTCCTCTGCTGAGAGGAGGAATGAAACAAATCCTGTTTTGTTTAGTTTTTTAGATTTTTAAAAAATATGTTTTTATTGATTTTATAGAGAGAAAGGGAGAGAGGAACATCAGTCGGCTGCCTCCTGCCTCGTTGGGATCGAGCCCACAACCCGTGCATGTGCCCTAATCGGGAATCGAACCGTACCCTCTTGGTGCATGGGCTGACTCCCAATCCTCTCAGCCACACGGGCCGGGCTGTTTAGTTTTTGAGATTTTAAATAAACACTGAGCTGCTAAGAATGTCATGCTGCTGCCTGTCTCCCGCTGGGTCGGCGACCAAGCCTTGGGGCGCCCTCCCTCTGCTCCGGACCAGCCATGTGGCCAGTGGTGCCTGCGCGGGCCCAGGTGGTGGCAGGGGAAGTTGCCTGCGAACAGGAGGTGGTGGAGCCAGACCACAGGGGCTGTCCACGTGGCCGGGTCGCTGCCCCGTGCTGGGCCAGGCCTGCGAGCCGCCCGGCCGCTCCCGCAGTGGTTCCCTCGGGGCAGCACCAGGAACCGCTCCAGCCCTCAGGCCCATCCCCACGGCGCAGTGGGAAAGGGGAAGACGGTGCTGGGTTCCCGTGACCTGGGGAGGATAGACACAGGTGGACCGTGAGCTTGGGAGCATCACACTTTCACGGGCGAGCACTTGGCGTGTTACTGTGCGCTGGTGTGCGCACGCGTGGGCATGCACACGGCCTCGGACGGGAGAGGAGCGGGGCTGGGAGAGCAGGTTGCGAGGCTGGCTCAGCACAGAGCACTCTGGCATTTCAGACTCGGGTGTTCAGCGCAGGGACTTTAGTTGCAAAGCTTATGGAAGGGCTGGGGCTGAGGGAGGCAAAGACCCAAACAGCAAATGCGGGGGAGCGAGGAGTCGCTCAGCGCAGCCTCGCCTCCCGCCTGGCCGTCCCTCTCTGTGCTCGCTGCTGCTGAGGGGCTCCGGGAGCCGCTCCCACCCCTGCCCGCGCCTCCAGGGCAGGACCTGGGGGGACACTGAGGTGCACAGAGGGGGAGGAGCTGAGAGGGTCGGCACCCGGGCACCCTGACCAGGGAGGCAGGAGCAGTGCCCCTGGTGCTCAGGTGCGTGGACCAGGAGCCGAGACCCGCCTCCCTGCGCTCCAGCCGTGCGTCTGCTGCTCTCAGAGGCGTGTGCCCACCTGGACCTCCCCTTGTCTCACCGGCCACACCTGAGGCAGGGGCATCCTGGGGTGGGCTGCCTTCCGAGGGAGCTTGCAGTGTCGTGTCCATCCAGAGGGGCTGCTGTGTAGGTTCTATTCAGGATCAAACTGCACACATCACACACACACACACACTACACACACACACCATAACACTGCACACATCACACACACACACTCCATGACACTGCAAACATCACACACACACTACACACACACGCCATAACACTGCACACATCACACACACACTACATGCACACGCCATAACACTGCACACATCACACACACAAACTACACACACACGCCATAAACACAGCACACATCACACACACACACGCCATAACACTGCACACATCACACACACAAACTACACACACACGCCATAAACACAGCACACATCACACACACACACTACACACACACACCATAACACTGCACACATCACACACACACACTCCATGACACTGCAAACATCACACACACACTACACACACACGCCATAACACTGCACACATCACACACACACTACGCACACACGCCATAACACTGCACACATCACACACACACTACATGCACACACCATAACACTGCACACATCACACACACAAACTACACACACGCCATAACACTGCACACATCACACACACAAACTACACACACACGCCATAAACACAGCACACATCACACACACACACGCCATAACACTGCACACATCACACACACACACACTACACACACACGCCATAATACTGCAAACATCACACACACACACTACACACACACGCCATAACACTGCACACATCACACACACACTACACACACACACCATAACACTGCACACATCACACACACTACACACACACAGCATAACACTGCACACATCACACACACACTACATGCACACGCCATAACACTGCACACATCACACACACAAACTACACACACACGCCATAAACACAGCACACATCACACACACACACACGCCATAACACTGCACACATCACACACACAAACTACACACACACGCCATAAACACAGCACACATCACACACACACACGCCATAACACTGCAAACATCACACACACACACTACACACACACGCCATAACACTGCACACATCACACACACACTACACACACACACCATAACACTGCACACATCACACACACTACACACACACAGCATAACACTGCACACATCACACACACACTACATGCACACGCCATAACACTGCACACATCACACACAAACTACACACACATGCCATAAACACAGCACACATCACACACACACACGCCATAACACTGCACACATCACACACACACACACTACACACACACGCCATAACACTGCAAACATCACACACACTACACACACACGCCATAACACTGCACACATCACACACACTACACACACACACACAGCATAACACTGCACACATCACACACACACTACATGCACACGCCATAACACTGCACACATCTCACACACATGCCATGACACTGCAAACATCATACACACACACTACACACACACAGCATAACACTGCACACATCACACACACACTACATGCACACGCCATAACACTGCACGCATCACACACACAAACTACACACACACGCCATAAACACAGCACACATCACACACACACGATAACACTGCACACATCACACACACACACTACACACACACGCCATAGCACTGCAAACATCACACACACACACTACACACACACGCCATAACACTGCAAACATCACTCACATACACACTACACACACACGCCATAACACTGCACACATCACACACACACACTACACACACACGCCATAACACTGCACATATCACACACACATACACACTACACACACACGGCATAACACTGCACACATCACACACACGCCATAACACTGCAAACATCACACACACACTACACACGCCATAACACTGCACACACACGGCATAACACTGCACACATCACACACACATGCCATAACACTGCACACATCACACACACACACTACACACACACGCCATAAACACTGCACACATCACACACACACTACACACACGCCATCACTGCACACATCACACACACATACAGGCTACACACACACGCCATAACACTGCACACATCACACACACTACACGCACACGCCATAATACTGCACACATCACACACACACCCTACATGCACGCGCCATAACACTGCACACATCACACACACACTACACACACGCCATAAACACAGCACACATCACACACACACTACACACACGCGCCATAACACTGCACACATCACACACACACTACACACACACGCCATAACACTGCACACATCACACACACTACACGCACACGCCATAACACTGCACACATCACACACACACCCTACATGCACGCGCCATAACACTGCACACATCACACACACACTACACACACGCCATAAACACAGCACACATCACACACACACTACACACACGCGCCATAACACTGCACACATCACACACACACTACACACACACGCCATAGCACTGCACACATCACACACACACTACACACACACGCCATAACACTGCACACATCACACACACATACACACTACACACACACGCCATAACTCTGCACACATCACACACACACTACACACACACGCCATAAACACTGCACACATCACACACACACACACTACACACACACGCCATAACACTGCACACATCACACACACATACACACTACACACACACACCATAAACACTGCACACATCACACACACATACACAGTACACACACACGCCATAACACTGCACACATCACACACACTACACACACACGCCATAACACTGCACACATCACACACACACTACACACACACACCATAACACTGCACACATCACACACACATACACACTACACACACACACCATAACACTGCACACATCACACACACACTACACA